TTAATTTTTATTCTAAGGTTTATACTGTATCTTTGACTTACAATTTATTTAAAAGACATTGTATGATATCTTCTCCTAGTTTTAGAAACTTTAAAAAGTATATTTCCATTTTCTGTTGACTTAAAAAAAAAACAACAGAAGTTTTTACCTATGTTGTTTACTTATTATTTCTTGCCTATATCTTATAATATGAGAAACTACTTAGGCAGTAACAAAACACAATGTACTAACCATTGTTAATCTCCTAAAAAAAAATAAATTAAAAAAGAAAGAAAGAAAGAAAGAAGAAAGAAAGAAAGAAAGAAAGAAAGAAAGAAAGAAAGAAAGGAAGAAAGAAAGAAAGATTGCAGGACACATAGTAGTTGCCTCTGCAGACCGGAGGGGTGGGGTCTATAGCTAGAAGGAGCTTTCCTCTATGGATATTTTATCTGCTTCCCCCTGCTTTGAGACAGCTGGCCACAGGCCTAGAACTCACGTTGTCCAGGCTGGTCTTAAACACATGATTCTTCATCCTGAGTTTCTCAAGTGCTAGAATTACAGACATGTGGCATTGAGCCTAATTTTTTTTCTTAAAAAAAATCTATGTGTTACTTTTATGAAAATCTGGTTAGTAGTTTAATTTAAAATGATAAAGATGGTTATAGTACCAGGATACCGCTGGGGAGGAGAGCTCTAGGCTGTTTATGTTGGGCCACTCCATCAACATGGCTCTGTGGGCTGCAGGTTGTGAGCCATGGCAGTAGTGGCCTTGGGGAAACAGAGAAGCTCAGAATGAGGGTACTAGAGTTGAGCCTTCACCAAATGCTCAAAAGGAGAAAATGAGTTTTGTTGATGCAGGTGAAAAGAGAATGCACCCTAGATACTATATTTTCAGATTTAATCATTGGCCACAGTGGCCTGGCTAATGGTGAATGAAATTCTCTCCCATAGGATGGGCACAAGTGCAGCTCCCCTCCCCCAGTCGCCCCACAATGGATACTGCCATACCACTGGGGGAACATGAAGGAGTGAAACATAAATCTGCAGTGACCTGACCCAGGGAGGAGAAAAATGAGAATCTAGAGAGTTTCCAGATAGGATTGAGGTGGGGCAGGGAGGGTCTCTGAATAATGAAATAAATGCCAATCCCAACTGGGATCTGCAAGGGTAAGGGAGTCTTGCCCCCATGACTAACAGCTTCCTAAATATTCAAGAAATTTTCTGTGGGGGAGAGAACTTGACCTACACCTTTGCTCCCTGTCAGATTTTGTTTTAAGGAGAGGAGAGCTCCATCCTGACAGGGCAGAGAGAGAAGATGCCTCCCCAGTGCCTCCCCCAGCACCAAAGCAGTAGCTGCCACACCCCACATTCCACAGTCCCACCCTTCAAGCAGCACCTCCTAGTGAAGTCTTTCCTTCTTTGAGGAGTCAGGTCCTCTCCTGGTGCTGTTTTCTAGATAACAGTGAAAGGGGAAAGAGAAACATATCTAGGTGCTTTCTGAAGCCGTCCACACACTCTGTACCAAAGATCACCCAGCGGTACTGTACACTGAACTTTTTGTGTTGAGACTGGATCTGGCCTTTTGCAGTCCTCTTGCCTCAGCCTCCCAAGAAGCTAGGATTTCAGGAGAGTGCCACCTTGCCAGGCCCCAGAGGCCCTGTTCTGCCATACTCCTTATCTCACAAGGCAGGATGACAGCAGAGATGGCGCCTGTCCTGTGCTCCTGCCAGTTCGCAAACCCACCCAAAGGCTGGAACTCTTGTGACTGTAGCTGCCAGTCCTACCTGTCTCGCCGTGTCGTTTGGAAAAGAGAACTCAAGTTTTCCATGTAGAGTTTTGATTGCCTTTTAAAATAGTGGGCTTCTATGTGCATGTTTCCCTTAACTGAATAAAAAGGCAAACAAACAAGCAAACAAAAAAACTTGGTAAACAAATCCCTAATCCGATCTCCCACACGGGGAGCAAGACCTTCCACTCTTACAAGGAGATGGCCCGCGACAGAGGCTCTGCTGATCTCACCCACATTGAATGGTGGAGCTGGGCTGGCAGGAAGGGCAGGGTCAGGCTCGGACAGGACCCTGAGTTCTCCTGTGAATTAGAACAGGATGGAGCTCTGAGCCCTGCTGAAGACAGCTTGGCAAACAGAAGGTGCCCAGTAAGATTACTTACCTTCCGCTTGTAATAAGAAAAAGGTGTCTAAAAACCCTCAGGACTAAGAGTATGAATTTCAGCATTTAAACCCATTCTAGCAAATGACAGCTAAAGACAAACAGAAGCAAACACTTTTGAGAAACCACAAGTTAGGGCCTCCGTTTTGGTTGTATTGCAAGGAGCAGTATTATGTACATGTTTGAGGCAGGAAACACAAGACTGTCAGTTGCATGACTGAATTCAAGACCATAAAGATCGATAAAGCCTGTGCCTGGTGTTGTGGCACATACCTGTAACCCCAGTACTCTAGGAAGCTGAGGCAGGAAGATTGCTCAGTTTGAGCTCAACCTGGGCCAATTGGTGACATAGTAAGACTCAATCTCAAAAAAAAAAAAAAAAAAAAAAATTTTAAAAAAACTGGGATGTTAAAAAAAAAAAAAAACCAGAAATGACTGAGGATGTAATTCAGTGCAAAGGCTACGGGTCCAATGCTCATTACCAAAAAAGAAATTGAATAAATGCAAGAGTCCCTTTAAAAATACTTCTTAGCCCAGGTACAGCTAGCCAGGCTCATACATATGAGAACAGAAGTGCACAGGGCCGTAACTTAACATTTGTTCATTTGTAATATACATAAATTATATCTCAGTTAAAACAGAAAGAGACCTTTCCCATCCCCTGGGCCCAGTAGCAGCGCTGCCCTGGTCCTGGAAGGGCCCTGGAGTCTAGGAAAGTAGAGTCTCAGGATGGGGTGCAGGGACCTCTGAACTCTTCCCAGAGACAGCTGCCTCCATGTAGCACCCCAGCAGGCGAGAGGTGGACACAGGCCTTTGGGCAGTCACACTGCCTCCCAAAGAAGGGCCTGGGCAGACAGGGCAGCAAAACACACAGCAGCCAAAGAGCAAGCAGGTGAGGCCACCTGGTCTCTGGGATGGAGCTCTGAGCCCTGCTGAGGAGGGTGTCTTGCCTGCTTAAGTACTCAGGTGATAGAATGGTTACCGTGTGGGCAGAAAGGGCTGTGTGCCTCCACAAGGACAGCCGGCACAGCAGACGTGTCACCACACCCTCCCAGTGTGAGTCTGTGATTGTCTGCCATGCAGGACACACCCAAGATCCTACAGACTCTTTCCCAGACAGGTGACAACCATCTGAAGATGCTACAGACTCAGGCAGCCCATGTGTGCACACACTCCTGACACATGTCGTCTGAACCCTCAGAAACAGTGGCTGATGGTAGTTCTCGGAGTAGAACATGCCCCTTACGAAGGTGGCCTCCAGGCAGCACTCACTCTGCCGCCCATGTTCTTCCCTGCAGGAGGCAGTGTCCCATTGCCCAGAGGAGGTCCAACTGGCCCGAATCCAAAATGTTATCCAGAAGCTTCCCCGCTCCCATTACAGGTAAGAATCCTTGGGAAAGAAATGTGCGGCCCCTTAGTGTGGCATAGCTTCAAGGGGCCAGGTGTGTACAAAAGCAGCAGATTCAGTGGGTGGTGGCTTTAGGGAAAAGTCACTCTATTAAAGTAAGTTGCTACCTCACGAAGGACAGTGGCAGCAAAGGGCAGCCTGTGTCCAGTCACTTCTAGACACTCAGCAGAGTTGCACAAGAAGTCATTCCAGTCGCACTGGTTTTTACCCAGATTTGTAGCCCAGACAAATCTGTGGAAAACCAGGTGGCTTCCAGAAGGGGAGGTGGGGACTGTGGCCCTTCAGTTGACTGGTTGATCACTGCCTGCCTGTCAGGGTCCCCTCTTCCCCATCTATATCCTCTCATTTCATCCTCATAGCTGAGCCCCTACATGTGCTGCCTTCTCTGCCACCCCCAACCCTGCCCACCTACTGCAAGGGCACGTTGCGATGTGGTACAAAAACGAACTTAGCAGCCACAAATGTTTGTCCATGAAATGGACTTCCTTACCTGTAGCTGGAACTTTCTATATTTCCAAAAGCATAAATAAAGCCCATTTCAAAACAGGGGCCACTTCCACCTGGGGAGAAGGAAGAGCGAGGGGCCACTAAGAACCCTCAGTCCTTGAGCTCTGTGGCTCTCTGTTCTAGCTCTGGCTGGTGTTCTCCGGGCCTCAGCCAACTTCTGACAACACTGATCCTCGTCACTCCCAGGCCAGTGTGCCCTGGCCAGCAAAGTGACTTCTGCCAATCTCAAAATCCTCCCAGTATTTCTTCAGTGTTCCTAAGACAGAAATAGAGACTGTTAAACTTAGAAATGATCTGAAGATGTCAGGATTTGCATAGGCACTTAAGTTCTTTACTTTGTCAAAACGAACCAACAACATGAATCATTACAGAACCCTGGAATACTTGATCCGACACCTCGCCCATATTGCCTCCTTCAGCAGCAAGACCAACATGCACGCCAGGAACCTAGCCCTGGTGTGGGCTCCAAACCTCCTCAGGTAAGGACCACACTCTCCTGTTCTCTGCCCTGTGGGTGCAAGAAAGAAGGGAAATGGAACCTAGAACCTCCAGACTCCTAGAACGTACACCTGCCGCTAGGGGATCTTTAAGAGTGCCTGTGAATTAAAGGTAGTTTTAGCTACCTGAACTCTTTGCTTGCTAACTTGGAAACTCTAGTGAGTTCCAAAGCCATTTCTTGGGCATAATCACAGTGTGGCTAAAATTATGCATCTGTATGTTACAATTTCCTTAAAAGGCCTTTCATACGGTTGGGACTCATTAGCTTTTTGTCTCTAGTGGTGACCCAGGTGACTTAACTTGAATCAGGTGCCTGAAATGATGATCTATGCCACAGTTGGACAGTGGGGGAAGAGGACCCTCAGTTTCTGTACATTAATGGGATGGAGTTTATAGGCTCACGATTATAGCGTCTAGTAACTTCTAAGTTTATTCAGTGGGCTGGGATCACAGCCTTTAGAAAGATCCTTTAATCAGTCTTTTTAATTTTTTTAGTGTATTTGGTACAAGGTCTCACTACACAGCTCAAACTTGTACTGATCCTCCTGTTTTCAGACTCCCCAGTGCTGGAACTACAGGCATGCACCACCATGACCAGACTTGGTGGTGGCTG